CAACTGTTACTCTGTGTAGAACACGCAGACCAACCTTGGAACGCGGAAATTGACTAGAGGGCGCCGCTTCATGTCCAACAGCAAGATTATCAGTAATAATGAAGTCACCAACTTCCCACTGATGGTGACTTCAGCAAAGACTGTGAATAAGTGATTGGGTCGTACGACAAGAGGCATCATGGGGTCAAAGTTCATATAAATTAAAATCTTATTGGTTAAGAATTTTTAATAAAACATAAAATGAATATCACCGAATAAGTACGTAGCCAGCTGTATTTTAGCATATATGCAAACAACGTTTGTTTTTTCATCTTTCCTTCAAAACAATTTTCTAATTTTAATCCAAAATGAACTTAAAATTGTGATATGCACACGAGGTCAATCTCCATGAAGCAAAGCATGAATTTATGGATTGAGGCAAGTGAGAAGCACAGACATGACCATCGCTTGGGACTCAATTCCCGCGCCTTCACAGGTGACGAACTTCCCGCTTTAAATAATAACGACCAAGGCAATTTCGCAAGCACAATTTAGGATCAGGATCAGTTATTCTAAGTGTATGGCGAATAGGTGATTTTCCGTTCACTGCGAGATCCCGCGAAAAGCGTGAGATATGCAAGCTGACATCTGCTGTAACAATTGAATGATTTGATTTTAGATTTGTTTGTATATAATTCAATGTTGAAATGCCAAAAGTGAGGAAAATGACGTTGAGATACACTCACTCAATCAAAACTGTTCATCATAAAATGTGTATAGCACAATATTATGCGTGAAAATACCCCAAATTACATTCACTTTTGTCGAATCCCACGCGATGTTTTGATGCCAATACGACCCTTTCCTTACTTCTATTTCACAAATATTGCGTATATGTATATCGTCATTTTACAAAAACACCATAATTATCTACTAAATTAAAAATATGGACAATTTTGTCTTATCGAATATAGATAGTATGTACACGCGTCAAGTTGAACCTTTATCTGGTAGAAACGATTACTCATTGGATAATCGTCCGATTCTCACGGTGTCATGAACTTTAGCCAGGCGTATTGTAGTGTATCAGACCTGTATGGCACGCGTCCAATCATAGCTTGCGTCCTTTGTGGCCATGGAAATAAAACAAAATGGCGTACTTTAAAACACACTGGATGCGCAGAATCTGCAAAGATATAGTAATGCGGTGATGGCTCATTGACTGGCAAAGATGCAGTCTGATAAGTGATACGATAATTAAATTACCTTGTGGGAATATTGAATTTTTTTATTGTCTCGCATATACTGTCTGTTCAATTCATTCTTTATTTCATTATTTTCACTCTTACTAGCATTTCGTTCTTGCGCTGTACCTTTATCCCAGACAAATCCTTGAAAGAAACCCATATGTATGCACAAGACCTATAGGGAGAGTTGAAATAGGTTGTTGTAACACACAAAGCACACGAACCGTCAGGTCAGGTCAGATCACATCAGTTCTGGTTGGATAAGGCCAGATCATGTTAGCTTGGACCAGATCAGGTGAAATAAAAAGTCAATCACTGACTTGAAAGTCAACAAAAATGAACAAGACAAGTTATATCTACAGCAAGGCGTAAACACGAAAATGTTCTTCAGGTTCGGGAATAATATTTATAACAATGATTGCACATTACGTTCTATATCCGTTGTTACCCTAACAATAATATAATCAGTAGTATGCAAATCAAGAACAAAAAATATAATTATAAGGAAAGCACAAATGTGGTTAAACTAGTCTTAACGATAGAATATGAAGTGATGTGAACTGACTGTGCGCTGTACAACAGCGGAAACTCGGAGTAGGTGTATGTAAAATAACCTATACTATACACAGATGAGACTGCTCACTACTGGCACGTTGATTAATGGGCGGTGGTCGTTGCGCCGAGCATTTGCGACATTTTGCGTTGATAAACATTGATTTTTCCACAATTCAATGCGCTCTTCTAATGGAAAGCACGAGTACGGGTTCCGATCCGGGTGTGACTTGCACTAATTACTGCCGGCGACTCATTCGAAACCTTTCAATCACTAAATAAATTATCTAATTAAAGCTTGATATCGTCTCTGTTTGTACTCGTTGATCTGCGCAACAGTCAAAGTCATCATCTTTGTTCATATACCTATAACTCGCGCATACGTGGCGCGACGACCTGTGCCCTTGTGACCTGTAGAATCTTGTTTATGTACTATATTAATTAAGCTGCACGTATTCAAAGTATTGTACCTTCTCATTGGTTTCTGGGTGTGAATATATTAACGGATGAATGATATCTGGTCGAGTAGTTATAACCGACAATCTCTCAAATCGAGCCAGTTGTTCTTCTGATAATCCATTCACAATATCATTTAGCGAGAAATGCGTGAAATGCACGGATTGTTTTTTTAAAGGGAGTATCAGGGGGAAAATCTCCTCTATGGGGTTCTCCACACTTGCCAGGGGGAAATCTCGTCTCGTCTCTATATCTCGTCCCCTTGAGGTATGGGATCGGGAAAGTCACTTTAACTTTACAGTCAAATAAGACACACACAATGAAATACGTTTCAGCTCTCGTCTTAGTCGGTCAATCGAGCACTCTATAAGACATAGCGCCCTGGGGGAAAATCCCCAAGACTATCGCAAGGCTGACCCAAGACTCTCTTAGACTACGTCAATACTCGCCCCAAGGCTCTCCAGGACTGCTCTAGACTGCGTCTATCGTACTGTGCTCCCCAAGACCAACTCAAAACTCTCTTTATTAATTTTCAAAACTCTAACCAATTACAAAGCAGAAAACAAGACTCTAGGGCGTAACCTTCAATCATAAAGCCAATCACACTAAGTACTGAATACGTCATATCTTTTGATTAATCGTTCACTACATTAATAACTACGAATACCAACTGTCAAAATGAGTAGTCTGAATAGCGGCGGTTATCTCGTAATTAGTTCCAAATCACTGAGCCAAGTTCCGTCCAAAACTTCAAATAGGCCTACACGATGACAGACATAATACAGCAATTCGCTAATAATCAGCTAATTAAGTCGGTCAACAGATAGACAAAAACAAATTCATGACAGGAGGTCCAGCGGAATTCAAATTGTTACTTTTGCGCTTGTTACTGAGCATATATGCAATGGATTATGGGGAATATTTATCAATAAAGGATTCATGTCAATGTAAATTTTTCATCCCATTCAACGACAAAACTGTTGAAATATGAAGCAATACATCAACTCTTGAAACTAGTGCAACATACAAATCTTTGCCATTTTAAAGGGCAGTGGTTTTCGCGCCACGCATCGGGCTCATAAGAACAAAGATGGCGACTTTAACTGTTTTGCAGACCAACGAGTGCAAACTGAGACTTTACCAAGCTGGCGTGGCAGATGGTAATCTTTAGGCTGTGAGCATGTTAACAATGATTAAATGAAAATAATGTAAATACAAGCGCCGGGATAGGTGGCCGCCTGTTCAGTGAACACAGATTTAAATTAAGACATCCATAACGGTATTATTTCTGATTTATATAGGTTTCTATAAAACAAAAAAAAATATTTATTTGTTGTCACCATAGTGATAATAGGATTCTATTCCATTTCAGTACAGAGCGCGTTGATTATTGCATTGGTAATGCAATGGAGTATTTCTTTTCTACGAGACCACAGAAGACATCCCACAGAATCTGACGTTACATAATTCTGAATGGGTGATGAAATGTTACTACCATTGTACCCAGGCGTTCATGCAGTGTATATATTCAAAACTTATTCTCTGACAAGTTAAGAGTCTCTTATCCAGGCAAACATTCGTTGCTATACTATTGTGCTATTGTAAAAAATCAGGAGAGCATATGGGTTCATACAGAATTAATACAGATTAATTACCCGTTAATTAGATGTATGGTGGATGGTTGGTTTTCAAGGCAACAATATTGAAATGATAGAAATGCGCGAATATTCTCTTTCCATGAACCAAGGCTGCTAACTTACTTTGCGATGAGTGGAGGGGGGGGTATGTGTTGAATTGAATGTTGAATTTGTACGCAGTGTGATTCACTTGATTTAAAAAGTGTATTTTTTAGAATTTTCATTGTCGTTGAGGTGCCCGATTGTTGCACTCACAAAGTTTTGACAGAGCTGGATCATCAGTTTTGAGATGATTGTCATCATACTCCATAATCAACTTATGAATATTCATTAGACCAAAATACGAGATCTTGGCCATTAAGCTCAAATGAATTCAGGGCGCTGGACGGTCACAGTCCCAAGGGGTTTAGATAGGGAGGTATGAACGGCCACAATTGTATGGGTTTTAGATAGGAGATCAGGACGGCCTCTGTTCTTTAGATTGTAAGTATATGTATACAAGGTAAATCAATAGTTGAATAATAGTTTCAGCAAATACTACCCGTTAATGTGATGCACTGTTAATTACAGCAGGTGAGATTATAATATTGTAACAGTCAGAAGAACATATGGTTTTATACACTAGTTTATACAGATTATTTATCCGCTTATTTGACGTATGGTGGATTGTTTTTGTGAATATTTTCTCTCGAACGTGGACTGCTACGTTTCTTTGCGATGCCAGTGGTTGGGAGGGGGATATTAGGAATCATGCGGCCGTGTTCGGAGTGAGATTTGCACGATTTAAAGAGTGCATTTTTAGACTTTTCGATTGATCTTATTTGAACAAGAAAGCCGGGTCGAGTTGTATGACAAGTTACTTGGGAATATCACTGCTGTAGTGCTTTTACTGTAGTCTTTTTTTTCTTGTATTTTTCTAGTAACAAAATATTGTCAGAGTTGTTAATTCAAGTTGATTGCGTAAGAATGGGATGACCGCAAAAACTTTTTTGCATTCACTATTTATTTTTGCGAACAGTGTACTATTTCATATTTTTGTATATTTTTTGTCTATTTTTTATTTTAGTCTCACTTTAGTATGCTGGTATACGGATGACAAGGAAGTAAACCGCTTTACTTACCTGTATCACCGTCCGTTGGCACATGAACCATTTGATATAAGGCGTGGCTATATGGTTTAGGAAAGAAGGAACCATCAATATGCCACCCCTTGCGGCCAACGTTCTATCGGCTTTCTTTTGAATCGTTTGATACTCGCTGTATGTAGTCGAAAGGCGACTTCGCGTGTCTACTAATGGTAGATGACTCTAGTTCCCCAAACCACCGACTGATTTCCACGTGTTTATCCGGAGAAATATTGTGTTGGTTTTTGAAAATCAAAATACTATGCTCGGTAACGTCCTTTTTTATTTGTGCGATAACTGTCTCCGGTTGTGGAATTCCAATGTCAATGCCATGTACCTCGCAGCCTAGTCTTCCTGGAATCAATTGATAAAAATCGTGGGGTGCGACCAGAATCACGCAGCAGTAGCATACCACAGCGTGATGACAAAGCAGTTGGCGAATTGCAGCTGAGAGCCAAGGCATTTTGGTATCGCGATTGATCCCTATTTTACCAGTCTATAAAAAGAGCGAGAATGAAACCATATCGTTTATTCAGTGTCTGAGTGCTGCTCACACAGGGAACAGCGCCCCCGTCTTAGCAAATCTAGAAAACGTAAAATCTATCTTTACATATACAGATAATGCCCATGTACGATAGTTAGAACAAGAGGAGGTTTCTTGTATTTGAATCTACGAAGCTTAGTGCAAATATATCCAGTTTTGAAATATATAATAATCCACACTAACTTAAGTGGTCTAAACCAATCATTAAGTCCAAGTATTAAAACATAATCCCGGCTATATATGTATGGGGTCAGGCAATTCAATGGATGAATACACAGTACAGCGGATGGTAAAGAGCATACTGCATATTATATTGTTCTCTAGTGAGAAATGGGGTCATAAAATGGATCGGGGGTTATAGATGGGTTCCCTCCGATTTGACATTGCACCACATTTGGGTCCATTTCTCTTAAAGATCCTCCGATGAAATATCCATTTTTTCTATGGAGTTCAAGAATGGGTGTACTTCCCTACCATTTACGTACAGCAGTGCCAATTTCCATATATCTCAGATCCGTGATGTTAACTCTTCTTACTACTTTGGGTTCAACATTGATAGTGTTCATTTTTTCCCTGCACTCGATTACAAGTAAGTCTAACCGCCCATCATTGAACAAACTGGCCTCTCCATGGGTTCACTAGTGGGCATACTTATCTTTCCATGGGCTTACCCCTCCCGTGGAGTATACATATGTATACGTCCATCCAACACAATTTCCATACAGTATGTCAACCTTCATGCTACCATGATAAAGAAATGATTGAACTTGAAACGTTAAAT